ACCTTCTTGTTTTTTATTCTTGGAATAGGGAATATTTTTTTGCGGGGAATTTATTTGATCCTATAGTTATGTTTAAGAGTTTACATTTGGCTCTTTTTTTTTCATGTTTTTTTACTCCTGTGATGATTTGGTGGAAACCAGAACTAGGGTTTTAGAAACTTCATTTTTCAGTTTTAAATCTCTTTCTCTTCCAAGCTGTGCTGTATTTTGAAGAAACTCCACGCTACCTCTGTATGGGTTCTGGCCTTCCTTCATATTTGTCTACTGCTACATCTTCATCTCATTATCAGATTTCTCATTGAGGAATTTTCTTTTTAAATGCTTTCAAGTTTCTTCCAAGCCATCTTCCAAAGATCCATTTTTCTTGGTAGATTGACTAGATTTATCAGTATTTGCAGAATGATGGAGTATGACCTGTGACCTTTTAAAAGCTTTTATGGGAAAATATGCACCTCTTTTGAAATTTCCTGCCTTTTCTGTTGCTTATTCTTTAATCTTTCCTCCACCTAGAGACCAGTTAATCTCAAACTCCTGGATCTGGAAGTACAGTCGCTTTTACTTAAGGGGATACTTGTAAAGGTGGTAAACCCCAATACTAGGTCTTTTTCTTATGTCTTTATGTTTTCCAAACATACAGATGATTGACAACTGGTGCTGGATCTCTTTCCTGTGAATCATTTTTGAATTGTTCCATGCTTCAAGATAGAGACTTTTCATCAGTTACACCTCTACTTATATATGTCCTTGTGGATGAGGAAATCGGATATTACAAGTGCTTATTTTAATAGTCCTGTTTATTTATTTTTTCATCATTACCTTCATTTTGCACATGAGAATCATTTACCAGTTTGAGAATTTTCCATTAAACTTGGCTTTAAGTCCTTGTGTTTTCAACAGGATTATCTGAATCATATCATTCTATCTTCATCATCTAGAAATTGGTTTTCTTGATGTCTCAGATGGTTGGTTAATTTTATTACCTTCTCAGTTTTGTGATAGATGAACATACAAAAACTAAATTTTGATGCAGGATAAAATTAAATTTTGAAAGAATCAGTATCTCTTCAACTGACATGGTTTCTTATTCATGTGAATGTTATGATTGATTCTCATGTGGGGAGATTAAAAATTTCCATAAGTGAGATTGATGGTTTTAGCATTTCTTGTCTGGAAGGTATTCTAATTTGAGACTTCATTATTCATCAAATCTTTTATTTGCTTGTGGTTTTTATTTCCAAGATCTTGAAAAGATTCTCCAGTCCATTGTGAATGTTAACAGAGACTCAGATGGCATTTAGCTGGTGGCTGTATTGGAACAACATTACTCAAGGCATTCCTTTGAAACTTTCAAGTTCAGATTATTATTTCTTCATTGATGCTTCATTCCACAAATTGAGACTGTTATGTGGAATTGGGTACTTTATAGTGTTTAGTCTTCAGCAGAGTTGTGGAACCATTTAATTTTTTGGAAATGTGAACATATTTTGAGATTCTGTGTTTCTTGTGTATTTTAATCACTGTAGACTTATCACCTATATCAGTTGGATAGGAAACACTTTCCAGATCTAGTCACAGGCAAATGCTTATTCTATCATTTTCCAGGAGAATTTTATTCTTATGATGGTTAATTTTTCATTCCCAGTGAAGGTATTTTTCATGGAGTGGTATCTTTATTTCTTTTTTGTGGTCTTAGTTCCAGACCTAGCACTCTTGACGGTTGGTGACTTGACCCAAGATTGATTGCAAGGTTCCCTTCTGGTTTGGAAACATTTGTCAGTCCATAGTTTTGATTTTTTGGAAATGTAGTAAATGGAAAGCATACAAGGATGGTTATAATGAGAGAGATAAATGGCTTAGAGTGAAAAGATCCAATATCAAACATTTATTGTAAATAAACACTGAATGTACTAAAACACCTTGTACCTGATGTATTGTCATGGGATATTTCAGACTGCTTGATGGATAATGTCTTCCCCAAACTATCTAGCCATAACACTTGGTGAGAGCTAGCAGTATTGTTACTAGTCATGTGTTTCCTGAGGTTCTATATCACCTTTTCTTGATCTGTTTACTGAACCATTGCTTTCTTTTCTCCAGGAGCGATTGGAACCACTTTGCTTCCTCCACTCCCACCTACTCTTCAATGTTAGGACTCTAGCTTGAGGCTATTGTAGAGGAGGTTCCTGCCTTTATAACTACTCCAGTAGTTAAACATATAAGGTTTCATAAGTGCAAGCTAGAAGAAGCACTACATGATAGGTGATTATTGGTCTAGAGATTCTGTCAGTAGCAAGCATGAGCAGTATGATTACACACAGAAAACAAGATTTGCATGATACAGCATATTGCAAATTAGAGATAGTAAATGTGGAGGAATCTTTTTTTGCTGAAGTGTTTTTGTAATATTAAATTCTGAAATAATGTTGAAAAATTTTGCTGTATGGATAACTTTTGCTGCATTATCATTGTTCTAGTAGCATAGAAATATGAAGGAAGAGCACAAGTTATTTGCTAATTGGCTCTCTGTGACATATAGCATTAAAATATCAGTTTTTCTTGTGCTGTACATTATGAATAAAAATCATAACTTTGTGATATCCTAAAAACAGTAATCTATATCTTAATGTTCTTGTGATTTACCTAAATCAGGTTTTTATTGTGTATCATGCCAAGAAATAAAAGATGAAATTGTTTAAACCTAAGCTAAACATGGATTGAAGATACAAACATGAGAAAAACTGCATAGTAATTTGATAATATCAAGCTTAATTTACTACATATGCATATTATGTAGAACAGAAAACTATGATCTATATTATATCACTTAAAAGTGGGAAAGATTTACATATCATAGAATAGAATAAGTTATTTTTAGTTTTAATATATATATATACAACAGTATAATTTACAATGGAAACAATTACGATTAGTTATTACAAACAAAGTTTCATAAACAGAAATTTCACTAACTTACAAACAATTTAAAAACGTCTTCCTAGTTCAGAGTCTCCTTGATATCCAGCGAGTTAACTTGAAGTCAATGTACATACAATTATTGGAAAGCTAGCTAGCTTTGTCAGGCACTGAATTGTTGGATCATCGAAGTAAGATAATATTTTCATAAAACCATTAATGTCCGATGAGAAACCAGCAATATTTTTGGAACGATACTAACGTTTTATGAGAATTCACTGACGTTCGAAATTTATAGTTGTTCCTGGTCGAATGTTGTATATTTTTTGGTTGGTGAGGGTTAGCAAAATCACGGTTATAACAGTTTCCTAGCAGACTTGTATCTGTAGCTCTCTTCTCTGTTCTCTGTTGTTGTTTTTTGTGCACTGCCTGCTGTTTTTATAGGCCAGACACATTTTCTCGAAACTTTGGAACTGTATTTAACCGGTTACGGAAGTGGATATATTGTTGATTCCTATGTTGATGAATATTCTACAATCTTGGAGAATTGGCAGGTAGTTTTGCATACATAGCTAACACGGTAAGCTAGACACGCCTCAAATATAAACTTATTCGAAACAAACG